CGAATGCATACTATATTATACCGGGTGTCCCAATGGCATTATCTGATGTATCGCGCTTGTTTTTAGAGATATTAAAAAATGTTGTAAGTGAAAGTTGAATGGTTTCGAGAATAGCACATCCCTTTGTTACTCATTTTTTTCTTTTTAGAAGCGTAAAAGATTTATACATGTGAATGTTGTTTCTTTAAATAGAACCATAGACATTTTAATACACAGATTGATGTATCATAGCATTCTCCGTAAAAAAGTATTCAACCATATGTAGCAAAAAACTTATAGTTTCGGAAATAAATAAATTTAATTGAATATCTTCAAAACTAATGGTTTTTTACCATAAATGGTCCTATACATTTTTATAGAGAATTTGAAGGTGCATATACTGGAGTTCTAAATTGTATACAACTCCATTTAAAAAAATAAAGCTGAGCTTGATAAGTTTTTTATGAGTGCATTTACGGAAAATCTTAGGAAACGAGAATATAGCCCTTTCGAAACCCTTCAGCTTTTATTCGAAGCATTTTTCAATATTCTTAAAAACAAGCGAGATATTTAAGAAAAAAACATTGAGATCGAAATTCCCGGACCGATTGAAAAATTTTTGTCCAAAAATTTCACTTTGTATTAGGAGAACATGATATGATAGGAGGTCGATCGAAAAATTTTTCCGAGAAATGACGTCAAATTCTCGGAACCTCTAAAATTCTTGGAACTGACGTCAACTTCTGAGAATTTCTACTGTTCTTGGAACTGACGTCAAATTCTTGGAAATTTCCGAATGAATTTCGTACGGAAGAAGCAATTGGCCAAAAATTCGATTTTCTATTAGGAGAACATAACTTAAAAGGAGTTTTTACACATTTGTCGTATATACACCGTTCTCCTATTCATTTTTTTACCATTTTTCTTAGCGTTGCCATTTTTTTTAGAGCTTTAAAGCATATTTGTTCACAAATTATGTAAATTTAGATAACTACATCGTGCGCACCTATTTTTTAACATGAATGCTGTTATTTTTGGTAAGTTTTTTATCATTTTTTTAATTTTTTAAAAAATAACGTTGTATCTCAATTATTTGGAATAATTCGACTGTTTTTAGCTACCGAATGCATACTATATTATACCGGGTGTCCCAATGGCATTATCTGATGTATCGCGCTTGTTTTTAGAGATATTAAAAAATGTTGTAAGTGAAAGTTGAATGGTTTCGAGAGTAGCACATCCCTTTGTTACTCATTTTTTTCTTTTTAGAAGCGTAAAGGATTTATACAAGTGAATGTTGTTTTTTTAAATAGAACCATAGATTTTTTAATACACAGATTGATGTATCGTAGCATTCTCCGTAGAAAAGTATTCAACCATATGTAGCAAAAAACTTACAGTTTCGGAAATAAATAAATTTAATTGAATATCTTTTAAACTAATGGTTTTTTACCATAAAAGGTCCTATACATTTTTATAGAGAATTTGAGGGTGCATATAGTTCTGGAGTTCTAAATTGTATACAATTCCATTTAAAAAAATAAAGCTGAGCTTGATAAGTTTTTTACGAGTGCATTTACGGAAAATCTGAGGACACGAGAATATAACCCTTTCGAAACCCTTCAACTTTTATCCCAAGCACTTTTCAATATTGTTAAAAACAAACGAGATATTTAAAAAAAAAGATTGAGATCGAAATTCCCGGACCGATTGAAAAATTTTTGTCCAAAAATTTCACTTTGTATTAGGAGAACATGATATGATAGGAGGTCGATCGAAAAATTTTTCCGAGAAATGACGTCAAATTCTCGGAACCTCTAAAATTCTTGGAACTGACGTCAACTTCTGAGAATTTCTACTGTTCTTGGAACTGACGTCAAATTCTTGGAAATTTCCGAATGAATTTCTTATGGAAGAAGCAATTGGCCATAAATTCGATTTTCTATTAGGAGAACATAATTCATGAATAGGTGGTATTTGAAATTTTTCCAGATATTTCATGGTAAAAATATTTGTCTTATTTTTCGAATATTTATTAGATGAATATAATCACAGATATCGTATTATTTGATGTTTTAGTAAAATTTATTGTACTTTTTTTCTTTTTTTATACTCACCTTTTATACTTACCTTTTATACTCACCTGTATACTTATCTATTCGCCAAATTTTTTCAGGAACGATTCATTTTTTCATCATTTTCCTTATATCTAGTTTCATTTACTTATATCTAGTTGATTGGATACTAAACATTTTATAAGAACAAAAAAATACTGAAACTTTTATTTTTTTAACGTTATTTGCTATTATAATCCCATAAGTCTGGTCTATTTATGATCCATTGTGCTCTCAAGTTTCATTAGAAGTAAATTTTTACTTTCTTAATGTGAAACCCATTACTCACAAAGAAAAGTGCACAGCCAGAAAAGAATTTTTCTTCTTTTTTCGTTCTAATCGCTTGAAAATCTATATTATATTCAATGTTTCTTTCTTTATATTGCCAAAATCCGCTTTATCGCCGCCGTTAAAAGTCGGTTCTTCGATCAGTTTACGAGTTCCCGTGTATCGATATCGGCCCACGGTAACACCGATGTTTCAACACTATTTTTATAATTTTTGTCGAGTCTGAAACGGTCGTATAAATTGGAACAGCTCATTAACAGCGCGTTATATTAAATTTCGCTAATTATGTCACGATTTGTCGCAAATGAAACGTCGCCGCCTGTACGCCCGTCACTCACCCGATAATTAGCGACGAGAAAGAGAGAGAGAAAGAGAAAGAAAGAGAGAGAGAGAGAGAGAGAGAGAGAGAAAGAAGAAAACGTGAAAACGTGTCACCAAGAATGAAATTCCATTGAAAGAATTCCGTTCTGCCTCGAAACTTCAACATCCACGTTGATTTATTCACCATTAATTAGATTCCCCGTTAATATTCCCATTCTCGCCACATTTATTCCCCATTTTCGTCTCCCTTCCCCCTTCCCCCTCCTCCCTTTTTTAATCTCGTTTCATCGATAAAATTCAAAACGCGCGTTCGCCCTGCAATTTTTACGATTTATATAAGAGATTTTTATTCCATACCACGTATCATGATGAATTTAAATTAAAAAAAAAAAAAAAGAGAGAACAGTAGTGGTTGGAGAAGGATAAAAAAAAAAAAAAAAAAGAAAAATACAAAACAAACAATTCGTGCGATCGAATACCTTCGAAATCGTTTCCCGTCTATAAACGTCCTGTGTGTATAACTCGGCTTCTCTCTCTCTCTCTCTCTGTCTCTCTCTTTTTTGTCCCCGTGCAAACGGGATTGAGCGAAATTATGCCCCGTTTATTTTTTATTATCTCTTCTCCCGTGAAAATGGCGCGAGAACGCGATCCTTCTCCGCTTTCACACGGATGCTCTTCTGTCTCGCGAGTCAGTAAATCGTGTTTCGATGCCCATTATGGGTGTTGATCGTTGCATCAGGATACGCACGGTTAGAACTTCCGTTATCGGAATATACGTGAACATCAACCCTATTCGAATGTTCTGACCGAGCATTCTACGCTATCTGCTTCACTCATTGTATCGTGAACAGACGTGTTTCCTTATCGTAGCATACGTGGAAATTAAATTTAATAATTGAAATTGATATTTGATAGTTGTAGTAAGAAGAGTAACGTCAAAATAGGGGAGGGGACGCGCGTGGAAGAGGAGAATAAGGGACCGTGGAGTTGGAGAGAATGTGCGGATTTTGTTTTGAAAGGGCGAGGAATTTTTTTTTGAGGCGACACGTAGCTGTTTTGTTCATCTATTCATTTATTTTTTTAAATAAATCATTACATTTTTTTTTGTACATACAAGAGTTCTTTATAAAATACTTTTATAATTCTAATATATGCAATATTAATTGTTAAAACGAAATTGGAGATATTTAAAAAATTAGAATGTTACAAAATATTCTGATGAATACACTATCATTGGAATTAAAAAATAAAAAGGAAGAAATTTTACAATAAAAGTTATGAATTTTTTATATCACTATCTCTTTCTTATTGTAAATAATAATTATTATTTATTTAAATGAAAATATAAATATAAAATAATTCATTTAAATAAATTTGTGTACCATTAGCCATTAAATTATTCTCATTTGTCTATTATAGTTAGATAAGATTCTACTATATAAGTATCTTACTTATAATAAGTCATACTTTTAGATCAATAATGATTTCATTTTTCTTTGGCAAAAGTTTAGTTCAATTTTGAGAAAGAAATTGTATATGTAAAATTTGCAGTTAAATGATTTATAGTGAAGATATTATAATAATATAATTGTAATTGTAACAGCAAAGAAAGAGATTTACTTTTTAAGATAATATATTCATGAGTAATTTTAGAATGGCTAGATCTATTTGCAAATTTTGTTTTTTCCCTTGTACTGGTTAATTGAAAGAGAATTTAATCCTTATCTTAATTCTACTACATACAATGTATGCAATGAAGATTATAGATATATATACCACTAGACTATAACTTTAATAATCCTTGTACCACTAAATCTATGATAATAAATATAAAGTTTAAAATATTATATTTTTCTAGAAATTTACAAAATGCATTTACATTTAAATAAAGTTAAGATTAAATTAAATTCATTTCCACCATATATATGAGAACTTTTTTTACACAACTGAATTAAATTATACAAATCACAAGTTTTAATCTTATCAATCTTAATAAATTTTCTAGTACGTAACAGTAATGAATTTAAAAATATTTGCAAATCGTTTATACATTTATTTTATATATATATATATATTTAACAATAGAAATTATAAATCCTGGTCCAATTTCAATTATGAAATCTCTACAATTTGTTTAAGTAAATATACATAGTTACACAATCAATAATAATAACTATCAAATAAATAATACAATTTAAATATTGAACGAAATCCAAATCAAATATCCGGAAAAAATAACAAAGGATCGAATTCCTTTCATTCGTAACAAAAATAAATCGTCAAATCATAAATCATTATTAAACAAATAAAAACGAAATTCTCAAAAAAACCTATTTCTCCTTAATTATATCATTGCACAAAATTTAAATTAATCCAACGGATAAAATTTAAGAGAGAATTTAATCTGATCTATCAATTCGAGTTCAGCTTTATCACGAAGGAAAAGGGAAAGAAAATCCATGCTCGACCGTGAGCAAAGCTCCATTATTTCGTGGTCACGCATACCAAGATTCCCAGGATTTCTTGCCCGTGGAAACGGCGAAAGTAACGTTTCACTTTCGCTGCCCTCCTCCTCCTCCTCCTCCTCCACCACGAAAGGAATCCCGAAACCACGTCACAGTCGAAAAATAGTTGACCGTTGAGCAAGCAAAGACAATTGCACCGCTGCAACCTCGGCCGACCGCTGTCGCCTCGCAGACTTAAGCCACAGGGGTGGCGGTTTTATGGCGCGTGCCCGACGCGGGGACAAGAGCAAATATTCCTTCTTCGTTCACGGGCTCTCGCTCACGAGATAGACGTTTCTTGTAACGTAGAGATTCCCACGGAAATCCTGATCCGCGTCCCGTGTTTGCTCGACCAACTTGCTTGTCGCGGGAACCTCGTATTTGTTTCGTTATTTAATTGCCTTGTTTCTCTTCCTAATTGGACCGAGCATGGTTTTAATGCCTCGTAATGCGGAACTCGCGAGGTGGAAGTGGAAGTATTTTTCTTTTTTTGTTTTTATTCCTTGAAAAAGAGGGAAAAAATTGTTCTGTCTTTTAGCAGCGGTAAGTTATGTACGTATAGAAGGATAGTAGGAATTCTAAGAGATTACTTTCTACTAACCTTTCTCTTTTTTAGGTGGTAGACTTTAAAGGATTATATTCGTTTACAAATGAAGAATATACGATCCCCTCTTTTTTTTCAATTTTTATAGTTATTTTATTGGAAAAAGAAGGGCTTGCTTTCCCCTCTCCAAAAGAATTTTATTTCTTTTATTCCCATTTTTGCATTCATATGGATAAAATATGGGAAATTCTATTCAGTTGTTTTAAGAGGAACGAGGGATATTTTTCTTTTCTAATCTTGTTTTCTTTCCTTTATTTTTCTGAACTTTGCATTCAAACGATAGGGACAACGAAGAACATTTCTTCGTTTTTCAATCCACCTTTTTCAACCTCATATTATATTTATGTAATAGATGAGAGATTATACGTTAGGAGATCTCGCTTAGGAACCGGTGAAACGTTGGTGCTTTCGAAGATTTACAACCGAAGTTTGTCTATAAAATTATGTAACTGCGTTGGCTGAACCGTATTATTAATCTTTGTAACGTAGGAACATGTGTGCATGCAAATTTATGGATATTATACAATTCGAGAAGCGCGCAACGTGTGTTTATTTCTGAATGTGTTTAGAGTTGTGCTCATAATGCGTTGATATCAATCATATAAAATTTACAATACAAATAAATTCCTGTTAATTCCTTAGTCGAAAAACAATCGTCTCCTTTCCTCAATTATTTCTTTTTTAACCCGCGAAACTACCCTTTCTAAAAATCGTACGATCCACCACCTTTATTCCACCTTCTTTATTTTAATACTTTCGCTGCAACCTTCTTTCCAACCTTCTTTCTTGAATAACACATTCAACCCCTTCCCTCCGATCTCAGAACACCACGCATCATTACGCACCCTACAAAAGAAATAAGAAATCCGAATACAGAGAGAAAACATATCTCTCCAATTACAATCCCTCTTCCAAATCCCTGTCACTCGTCCATCCCCCAAAACAACATCTTCACCATCCCTCACGTCAGACCCTCTTCTCTCCCCAAAAAGAAAACCATTTCCTCGAATATCTGTCGCCTGGAAACTTCCAAACGCACTGTGGTCCTCTTTGACCACTTTGATCTCTCTCTCTCTCTCCCCTCCCCTCGTTCCTCTTATTTCACGCATCTCCAACGAAAACGATCCAATTGGAAAGAAGCTGATTCCTTCTACGAGTCGAGTCGTATTTTTCGACCACGCTTGGCGGGGAAATATTAGCGGGAAGGAAATGGGGATGCGCTTTGGGTCGATGCACTTTTGGCACGCGTCGAGGAGGGGATCGTTACCGCTCGCACAGACAGAGGGGGTGGAGTGTCGCACACACGTAGGGAAGAGTGACAATGAATAAGTGTGCGGTGTTTGCTGCACGTTTGTCGCTCCCCCCTCCTCTGGCGACATCGACACACCACGTCTTGGCCAATCTCTTGGCTATGAAGCGAGGGAACAACGAGGTTGGGGGTTGGATTCCTTTCGGGGGATGGTTTCTTGAGATTACGGATTCGAAGTGGGAGTGTGTGCTTGGGTATATCTTTTGTTGATCTGATTTGTCTTTCGTGATTGTGCTCGTTCAGGGATGGAGATGTTGTTGGGGTTGGTTAAGGTATTGTTCGTGTTTGTGGTAAAATTGTTACGAAATGTGAGCTTTTGGGATTTTTGTATTTTAAGGATAGTTTGATGTTTTGTTCAAATTGAAAAATATTGTACAATATTGATCGAAGTATTTTTAAATTTATTTTTATTTATAGTAGAAGAAGTTCAAGTATAACATTTTTCGTTCTCGTTGATCATTTTAAATGAATTATCGCTTTGAAATTAGCAATATCACCTGCGATATCATTTTATAGTTATCACGAGTTAATAACAATCGTGTTGGTAAACGATTAAAATCGAAATTCGATAACGTTTAGACTAATTTTCTCGTATCTTATAATTATAGTTAAATTCTGTTTAATTGTTAATTAAACGTCTTATTGACCAAAATTTAATAAACTTTTATAGTACTTAACGACTGTAAACTCTAATTAAAAGTTCCCACTTTCCTGCTATGGTATTGTAAAACAGCATAATATCAGAATTCAGATACTATGGGCTATGGAATTGTGGATTGGTTTCTTGAATGAAAGGGTGTGTATAATATCCTTTGAATTGCATATTTGTATTTACTATGCAGCAGCGTTTGCGCAAAACACGTGCAAAATTCAGAAATTCGATGTAAATGTGTGCCTTTATGCGGTGAATTTGCTCCTTCGATACAAATAAAACACCCTCTACGATTCCTCTACGGGCAAGTTAAGAGTTTAATGGTGTCATAAATTGAGATTAAAAATTAGAAGGTATATGAATTTTTTAAATTGCTGAATTTTTATCCATTTCCAATGTAAAATTATATTATATTTTTTTTCTTCGAATATATTTACAAATTCGTTTCAATATATTTTCAAAATATAAATTTATTAAATTTTTCATAATCCTCTCACAAATATTTTCAATAATAAAATCGTTTAATTCTCGAGATTAAAATCTCGAATTTTTTCAACGCGATAAAAACCTCTTTGAAATAATTTGTTAAATTAAAGTATCTATGAAATGCTCGAGGTTTCTTTTTAATTATCAAAGAATCACATTTTCAAATTCGTAAAAATTCAATCAAACGAATCTTACGACTTTCATCGCTTCAAAAATCACTCTTCCGGTTCCAAGAAATATTATCGTGGAAGAGGAGAGAGGAATTGCAGAGACGAAGGACAAATAATTCCTTCGTAAATTGGCGCTGTCTTTCGTTCAGGATTTCGAGTGAAATTCGCTGAGAGGTATGAAGTACAAATATGGCGACATTTGTTACGTAAATACCTTTCTTTATTCGAGAGACCGTGCATATCGAATATGGAACGAAGCTTTTAAGGAAATTAAGTATTTCTCCCGCCGATACTGCGAACTCTGATGGCCATTGATTGATCGGCCATATTGTTAATTCAATTGTGTGTAACAGAGACACCGTTTGATCGTGCAATCGATCTTACGATATTAACAATCGATTTACTGCCTGCATATTTATGTTATAAATAATGCGAAATAAATAATGAAATAAATTATACGTAAATTGTATTATTCGAAATGAATAAAATGATTAATTTTATTGAATTGTTTGGTTTGAGAAAAATTAATCAATCGTTTGACTGATTCTCTCATATCAATATTAAAATTTCTTGCGATTCTATTATACATTTTTTTAAATAAAGTGTCGTATAACGAATGGAAGATACTTTAGAGATAGAAAAAAATTCAGCAATTGTTTTATTTTTGTCAGAATGATATAATATAAGTAAAAATAAAAAATTCATGTCTATCATTGTGGGATGCTCGAGGATTTAAAAACGAAATATAACACTAATTTCTTAACAATTACAATAAACTTTACTTCTATAACAAATACTAATTACAACCAAATAATTACAACTTATTTTAACTATAATTCTCACAATTTGTAATCCTATAATTATATCGTCAGAACTAACATTAAATCAAATAGATATCGAAAATTATCGAACTTGAACCCATTTCTATTCATTATTCGATACAAATCTACATTTTCCATCTGTTCATTGTTAGTTCAATGATTATTTTTTCCTTTTTTCTTTTATTTTTAGAACAATTTTTCAACGAATTTCCCTTTCATCACTAATTACCCTATCCAAGAGGAATGTTAAAAATCTGTACCAGTATGCTTGTATGCGTGCGTATGGATACTCTTTTTTTTATTTTTACTCTGTTGTTATTTCTCTACGGCTTCATCCACGGTCCAAATGTTTCGAATCCGCCGCATGACGTTTCGATTAGTCCCGCCCTGTTATCGAGCTTTCGATGAGTTTCGGTTTTCTCGAGATTAATTACCCGACCGAGGTATTAAGTTTTGATTAACGATAGTACAGAACGATGAAATTGCTCGATTGCGATCGGTTGTGAGCCGTTTAATCTTTGTCATTATACTCGAACGAATCGAATAGTGCTTTAAATTGTTCGTAATGAACGATTTGAATTTTTCCCCGATCATATCTAGTTGAAACTCGTCGACGATAGTACATTATTCGATCATTATATTTAATTATCATTTCTGTTTTCTAAAATTGTTATCAAAGAATTTATCTGGTGTATATAGATTTTTACTTTTTGAAATGTTCGAATATTTAGAATTAGTCATTTTCCTAATTAATTTTGCTACGGTAATAAAGATAAAAATACTCATATTTATTCGTTAAATAATTAAAACGAAAGTTTGACAATTTATTTCATCGACAATCGTATGGACATACGTATAAAAGCTGCCAAATCTTTGCATTAATCCAATCAACCAATTGATTAAATTGTTGTTTGTTAAATTTATAAATTATTTAATTGGATTATTAAATTTTTAGGTTATTTAGTTAGTTATTGTTAAATTTATTGGATTAATGAAATTTAAATGAAAGGTGTACATTTTAAAATAATTACTCTTTCTATACTTCTCTGGATGCGAAAAAAATCTCGTTACTTTCCTCTTTACACGCCTCGTCCCATCGTTAATTCATAGAAGCAAAATTCGAAGGCACATCTTTCGACGATCCACGCCGAATAACAAACGTTTTCCCAAACATTTTATCCGCAAAGTCAAATCCATTATAACCATATCGACGAGCACACCCGTTAAAACATATCTCGGCTCGAGATTTTAATCGAATCTGGCCCCGCCGTGTCGCCCCCGGAATTATAATATTTTGAAACGGTGTAAAACGGTGTACGTCCAGAGCCATATACCCATTACGCATCATCGCCCCGTGTAAAACGAATTTCGACCGTGCCGCTAATTTCATCGATCATCGCGCGATGATAAAGCTCGGTAATGATTTTTCGTGGACCGGTCGGGAAGCGCGGAGAATTGAA